AGAGGGATTGGACTGTCCTTTGTATACTTTGCTTTTGAGATCTAGGTGTAACCTGTGGAGGCTTCATGTCTCCATACAGAGACCCGTATACTTCATAGTCAAGGTGCTAGACATCCGTGACTGTTTTTGTGCTCTAGACAATATCGTGCAGGGGCAATTTAGCAGAGAATAAAAGCATGAAAGCTACTGATGAAAATGATTAGCTGATCCCAAACATCCCTGAAGCAGAGGCACAGGGCTTTGTAATGCTTTAGTATTTCCACCCATCTGAGGGCCCAGAACACTGTGATTCGGTAGGGTAAAGGCTGTGGTGGTGAGGTGCTCATTTCTTCCTTCTGAGGTGTTTTTATCCCTGCGTGTTTTTGTAAAGACAGAGAAAGGTATTTCTCCATTTCTATAATATGCAAAGCCTGTTTTTGTAAATAAACTGTTAATTTGCGTGGAGAAAACAAAGCAACCAATGACTAGAGGAGAAAGGTAGAAAAATGGACTAGCCATAGATTATCGTTGGGAGCAATGTTCAGAGCAGTTTCCTTTGCCACTTCAGATAAAGGATAATGGTATTATCTGGGAGCATGTGTAGGTGTAGTTTTCCTCTATACTTCTGCTAGCATATTACCAAACCTAGATATTAACAAGAAGGTAACCTAGAATTCCATGGAAAAGAAAGAACTAGAACAAACAGCAAATAGAGCAAAAACAAGAATTTAAAAAGGAAAGCATGGAAGCCAAAAGAAAAGTAATAGCAATGGGTGAAATTTGTAGGAAGGAAGGAAAACAGAAGATTAAGGAGACTAGATAGGAAGACACTTCTAGTGGGATTGCTCATTCAATTGTACTTGTCTTTTTACATTCAGTCTTAAAGATTACAGAGTGCTTTCCTTGAGGCATTTATGGTTTTTATGGCTTGTTCTGCTATGGGAACCAGCACACCATTACCTCCACACTCAATGCTTGTCGTACTTTGAGACTGATACTTGCTTCAGACCTCTGGGAATGTGAATATAAATAAACTCCTTATACCTGTTTATATCATGCAGTTAAGCTTGAATTGATCTTAAAAAAACCCCAGCAAAACAAAACCAAAAAAGTCTCTCTCCCTCCTCCCCCCTGAAATAAAACCCCAAACCACCAACAAACCTTGAGATTCAAATGTGCCTTTTCATACAGTAGCAGTTCTTATTAAGTTCAAGTGTAGCCATGATCTCTTGCTGATAAATACTCCACAGCCTATAGCAATGTGTTACTACTTCTCATATAAAGTGTGGCAAAGTTTTCAGTGAATTCCTTTAGATTTTCATTCAAGATGCATCTCAAAAGAAATGTGTACAGCTGTTACTTCAAAATTTACTGGATGGATTTTCTGTGGAGAGGGGCAAAATAGAATCTTTCCTTGTGAGCTCCAGACTGAATTTATTATACTTTAGGAATGGGTTTAATCCTGCATCTTGGATAGAAATCTGCAGATAGGATTTAAAAAAAAATTATTTTCAAGCCCTCTTTTGCTTAACCAGAAGTTTTCATGGCTTCAAGGGCTCCAACAATAATTCCTACAGATTATACTGACACATGCTGGTAGAGGGCAAAGCTGATAGAAGACAGTCCAGCTGCTATTGTACTTGGCAGTCATTCATCATAAATAATTCTGCTGGTCTTTTTGCTTACAGACATGTGACAGATGCTTCTTGCAATCTCTAAATAGTTGCATTGCCAAATAGACTACCAAGTTTTGAAACAGTTATTAGGATCATGTTATTCCCACAATCTGGGAATGCTATGGTGGTTTTAATTTCCTTGAGTTGATATGTCTAATGGCATCAGCACTGTGCCTTATGTACTTCATAGAGAGGTCTATATACCAAAGGCTGCAATGCCACTGCAATCAAGGGAATTTATTTATCTAGGGAAGTAAAATGTTTCTTCTCAGACTTAAAATCTAGGATTTGATCATGTGTACTGCTGAGAATCAGTACATCTCATTGGTTCCTCTCCCTCCTTTGGAATTGAGAGTGCTCAGTGTAGTAAGGACATGGCAGCTGGTGAAATTAGCCTCCTAACTTGCCTAGATTTCCACAGCGGACTGCAGGGTCAGTGCTCTTCAGTAATATAATTAGCACCCTGTGGGGACTATGTGGTATTGCAGGGTGCTGCTGAAAGGTTATTCCCTCACTGCATTCTGCAAGGATCTGTGAGCAAATGTTGGTAAAGCAGATATTTAGAAATGCTTTGGCATAAAATTCAAGCTTTATGCATTAAAAGCAATCTGATGGAGAACTGACAAACTCACCGAGCCCTTCCCTCTGAAAGAATGGTAAGTGAAAAGATGCAAGTTTGGGCATCTGAATATTGCAACACTTTCAATGATGAAAAAGAATTCCACAGAAAGAAGAAAATTCTTGCCTAACATATTAATTTACTCAAATTAAATGGAAGTTCCAGTGAAAAAGCAGTTTCAGGGGTACGTTTTTTTGACCAACCTCACTCCACCTATTTAGAGCTGGTCTATGTAAAATAGAGTAATAACATAAAATTACATACCTTCCTATGTCTTAATGGGATACTCATTCAAATCAGTAGACTAAATTTGCAGGGCTGATCTGGTCTGTTATCCTTTGTGTTAGAATAGAATAGAGTATTTCAGTTGGAAGGGACCTACAACGATCATCTAGTCCAACTGCCTGACCCCTTCAGGGCTGACCAAAAGTTAAAGCATGTTATTAACAGGCACTGTCCCAATGCCTATTAAAACACTAACAGACATGGGGCATTGACCACCTCTCTAGGAAGCCTGTTCCAGTGTTTGACCACCCTCTTGTTAAAGAAATGCTTCCTAATGTCCAGTCTGAACTTCCCCTGACGCAACTTTATTTGTTCTCTTGCTGTGGATGTGGGTACCATTGTGTTGATGTAAGACAGGTGAATTCCTGGAAGCAGTATTTCACCAGTTTCCAAGAGAAGGAGGATGAGCTGATGTGTCTGTGACTCATCTCGTCCTTTTTACATTAAAACCAGTGACAGTCCTTGAATTAATTGTAATCAGTCTAACCAAACCCTATTTTGCTGTGATTTGGGAAAGAGATGGTTTGTCTACCTACCAGACAGAGGTGAAAACTTAGCAATGTAAGAATTATTTTTGTATACTGTGCACCTGTCCCATGATTTTGCACCGGTAAAACTTATTCTACACATCCCTTGTACTGGGTGGTGTAAGAAAATGGCTGAAAATCACCATTGTACTTTTTGGTTTGGCTGTGGAGCAGTACCCTAAATAACTGAGTAAATTTCTTGTTGGATCTAAGCGTAAAATTTTCCTGCAGGAGGTAATTTTTTTTGGTCTAATTCCTTTGGTATAACTGGCATCTCTTCCATTACTTCAGGGCAATTATTCTCTAGCTACACTCGTGCAAATCATCTTGGCATCGGAGGCATTTTGAGACAGTTGCCAAATGCTTTTATTAAAGCAAAAAATGGGAAAAAGTTTAAGGCTCAAGTATTGGGCACTGAAATCCACATTCAGCCTGTGGAGCAAATGTGCCCCATAGCTTGGTGTCTGGATCAAGGGACACAGTAAGAATATGCTGTGGTTCTCTTCCTAACTATGCAGGCTTCCTTTCAATGGAAGCTAAGGTGGGGAGGTGATAATGTAACCTGTGACTGTTAGACTTCCTGTGCAGTCATTCCGGTTACTAGATAATTCTTGAACAGACCTGCAGCCAGCCCCATGAGCTGGGACTTCAGGTATTAATGGCAATTAATTCCAAGAAGTGCTTCGTTCAGCTCTGCTAACCCAGCTTAAATTCTCCTCTGTTAAGTAAACTGATATGGGGTGGTGCATGTGCTGTACTGAAGAACTTGCCATCTGGTATCTTCCAAGGTGTGCAGGAGCTTCAGAGGTGCATCAAGACTCAGGGAGTTACCTGCATCTATTTTCAGTTTAAGAAGCTATCAGAAGATTGAGGAGGGCTTATTCCCATTTTTGATGTCCATTTAATTTGGGCAAATTGAAAGATTTTCTTTGTTTCTCAGAGACAGTGCAGAAAAGGCAGA